ATGAATGTCTCCATGCCTGCGAAAACTTTTCTCCCCGTTGATTATGTACACAGTACAATACAATACAATACAGTACACGTGTCTGAATCCAGACTGTGTCGAAAAAATCACAGTTCAATAATCTTAATAAAATATTTATGATTTGCTGAAGGTGGTGGTAATCTTAATGCACACTGAAAGATCATTGAATTTAATCTGAATTTTTTTGATGTGTTTACTTCCTTTTTGTTTATTGAGTATGCAGTCAATTTTCAGGAAGTAGGCTGTGGCCGCATAGAGACCGCCTGGGGAAATACAGGAATGTGGAAGATGGGGGCGGTGGTGGGGTTCGAACTCGGTAACCTTAACCACTTGACCACCATCCAGTTGATTTCACCAGTGCCGTTGAGGCATTCAACTTTATCATTCAAATATTCAAGGTACCCTAATTTGGAACTAAGACCAGCACTAACACTCCCCTTTTTCAAAACAGGTCCGTTATCTGCCCACCTCACACATTCTTACTCCGCATGCATTATGAGCTTGACAGCGATCAGCGATGATGATGATGATGCGCGAGGTCCTCTTCGGTTCCCCTGGTAAAGAAATGTCATTGAAGTATGTTAACTTAGTAAGGTCACTGTAGTCGTATAGTTCTGGTTCGGTATGGGTCTATACAGAACTAAGTAACTCGTTCTTCAAGAGTTCCATATTTTGCCATTCCATTTTGAATTTCATCGTAGACGAAACATTGGAAAGCGCGCTAAATGGTTTCAAAGATGTTGAATGGGCAGTTGGAGAAAAGCTATGCGACTTACTGTGAGCTGCTGGCATCATCTGTTCGTTAAGATGCGTGGAAGATGCGCAAAGTACACTCAACCGACTAACCAGTTCTGTTGCCACTTTCCGTATGCTTTTCACAGATTCAAGATGCAGTGCGATGCTGTAAAACGAGGTTGAAGGGGGCAGCTTTGCTGTCGTTTGATTCATATTTAGATTTAGATTTCATACATCTGAGGCTAGACTGTGCCAAACAAATGGTACAATAATTTTTATAAGAAAGAAAAGCGTTCCATGATTTGCATGTGGACCGAATACTACCAGGTTGCCCAGGCCAAGGCAGGTGAATTTTATTGAGCAACTCACAATCGGAGCCTTCGACTAGCGAAAGCCTCACCCGCAAGGCAGCGGGATAGTGTGTTAAAACCTCAATCCATTGGGGGCCGGTGTCCAGTTCATCTGGTCACATCCTTTGGATGGGGGCAAACGTCCAAGGTACCCAATACACCCTGATGCCCAACTGTGCCGGTAACCACTGCCACAACCGGGAAGGCGTGGGTGGGTGTGGTTCGTACGCCTCTTCTTGGTTGTTTTGGAATAAGGGTTTTTAGCCAACTCTTTTAGGCGAACTGCCCGCAGTTCACCAACCCGGATGTCGCTTTTGGTTCTATCCAGTTTGGTGGAATAACACCACCACGAGTAGACAGTGAGTAGGGCTTCCTCAGCAGAGGATATTTGAGACGCTTGGTCATGTGGGGGCATTACGCGAGATGCAAGGGTGGGGTGACTAGCTACAATCCAAGACACCTACCCCGACCATGCTAAGGCTTTCGTCTGGTTCAATACCACGCCTGATCTAGCGAGGCCTTATGTGGTTCGCCACTCTTAGTCCCGGGGGTTAGGTTACCGGTTGCCATCACTGAACAGTAGGTCTTTGTGATCAAGGGGTCCAGCCTGTCTACTGTTCGTCACACAAGTGTGTCATAAAAATGTGTTGATTGGACTTGCTTTGAAACTAGCTAATCAGGATTTGGTTGAAGTCGAGTGTTTTGTCCACCTAAACGGTTGCGCGACGATAAAGCCCAATCAAAGGGGTAACCACACGAGTATATATTTTTTCAGTTTCTTACACAAGGTTGAAATACCTTTGGTGTCAGTGTTACTTCTCGCTGAAGTTGGAAGATCAGGTGTATTCTGTCATTGTGCGGTCAGTTTTGCTTTACGATTTGGGCCTTTAAATTTGCATGTAGTAGGTATCGATCGTCTAGGGTTTGTGTAGTTAAGGTCATAAAGGATGGAGATTGTGGGCATGTAAGCTCAAGGTAAATTGTCATATGTTTAACATTATTTTCATAGATAACTCATCGTCACACCGTGTTGGATAAAATCACCTGGGGTTCAACGTATGAAGTCGAGACGAGGCAGAAAAAGATTAGGTGAATTAGGTGTCTCTCAAGTTCCAGATTGAGTTCAGACGGGCTGTATAACTGGTTGGTTTGAGATATTGAATACTAAGATATATATATATAATGTGTGCGTGCGTG